GGTATGTTTTACCTATTCTGTAAATATACTAGGAATTTTGTTTAAATAAAATGCATAAACAAATATATACACATATACATTGTATTATTATTCTATTTGTATAATTAAATAATTTAGTTAAATTTTGCAATATACTAGAATTATTTCTGATATAATTAATGGATGTTGTATGGAAAGGGAGATTTTCGGTTGCAATGTGGTTGGGGTCAATTGGGATTCTATTATGGGATATAAAATATTTGCTACCATGTCTTAAATCTTGCACAATTATGTTTTTTCTTTTAATTTGATCCGTATTAACTTAAATTATATAGTTAACATTTGTACAAATAATTAGTTGGACATATGTGCTCTCAAAATTTCTTTTTTTAAACGTATATTTCTTCCCATCATTCAAATTTTAAGAGTTTTTGTTTCCTATAAAGCAATGGTAGTATACATTTTCATAATCAATAATTGAAGATAAAATCATCTAACTTTATTATATGCATCTCTATAATCTTATAAAGATAACATTAAAATCTTTATTTGAGCAAACGATTTTCCTGAGTAAAATAGAGTCTATTTTGACGTAAAACCGAAAAACAAGAGTCCTCTTCTTCTACTTATTTCACATGTAAATAGTTCAAATTAGCTTATATTCCCTTCACTAAAAAATAATGTCGTTTTATTTAGCTAAATATATTTGACCAAAATAAGTGTTGTTTTGGGAAATTAAAACGACATTAGTTATGTTTTTCTAAATCTATTTTCGATCTAATAAATTACCCCCAGAGTATAATGAGTAATTTGACTATAATATAAGACATAACTTAATCAAATAAATTTTATAATTATTGTTTTATATGAGTTTTTTAATGATCATACAAAAAATTTAAAATGATAATTATTTTAGACATGAAGTAATATTAAATGTGAATCTAATTGTAGTTGCATTAGATAACTTGATATTGCAACAAAAGAAGATTGTTAATGCTTATTAGTAGAACGAAAATGTTATAACTCCTGCTAATTCACACAATATGATCATGAAATATATGCTCCTTTTAAATTTTAATTTTCAAGTACTAGCTAACACTAATAAAATTATGATTTTAATGACTTTAGGTGACTTGAGAATAACTTTAATATCCTTTGAAGATGAACTCAGTGTAACTCTAACATACATATCTTTATTCCGATATTTAAGTAATAGTGCTATTGGGCCCATGCATAGCATGGGCTATCCTTTACTAGTTTCTATATAAATTGGAACCTCATGATAATACTAAGTTTAGATGGTTTTCTGGAATTTATATCTAAGAACTAACTAAGCTGACAGAATGATGTCCTCCATTATTCTTTCTATCGCTAAGAGGATATATTGAAAGAAATTAGCAGTTAGCTAAGCAATTCCATCCCTTATAGTCATGGTGTTTCCACCTCACTTTTCCCAAATCGAGTTTCTTTCCATAAAAGTTGTTCATTACCATTTTGTAATGCACATGCATATCTTGTGCCAACCTTGGGGCTTTTTCTAATAGCTGGGATGATAGTGTACATCTGTTTTGTAGGCTATGCTCCATTTTATTTACTCTGATGAGCTTCCGGATTTGCTTGAAATTGCTGGCTCTACTTCAACACGTACATCTACTATAATGATGCAGCATATATTGGCTGCAGCGGACCGCTTTGGTTTAGATAGGCTGAAACAGTTATGCGAGGCTAAATTATGTGAAGAAGTTAATGTGGATACAGTGGCTACGACTCTTTCCCTTTCGGAGCAGCATCAATGCCTACAGCTTAAAGCCATATGTTTGAAATTTGCAGCAACAAACTTGGGAGGTGCGTGTAGTCCGTAGATGTGAGCAGTGCAATGTTTCAGGTTATGTCATTTCTAGTTTTTCAATGTCTGTTTATCTGCAGACATGTTTTTGTCTCTGATTATTCATTTCCAGTGCATTTGTGCCATATTTCATTGTAGTCCAGTTCAAATGATAAGCGAAGATAAGAGTTGGTATCCATAGACCAGAGCAATAGTCCCCTGAACTCCTTTTGCTAAATGACTTATGGATATGCTTAGGTTCTGAAAATTCTTTGTTGAACATCATTTTCAGAAAAAATCTCTGTTGAATCTCGCTGAGGGACCTTACTTTTGTATAAAAAGGTGATTTTGGCTTCCAATAGATTATTTGTGGTGTTAAGTTCAGGAATCGGTTGTGAGGCATCTAGCAAAATAGGTATCCATGGGAATATAATAACAAGATCTCCTTTAGAACTTCTTTAAAATGTTTTGGAGCTCTTGGTGGAGGATTGTTGAATGTCAGTACTGCCAGTTGGTTAGGCTCCTAGGACTTGGCGGACACATTGCTTAAATTCTTGAAAGAATATGTTAGTGGTTTTGGCTATTGGAGTTAGTATCTTTAAAAAGGATGTATCTTTAATATTTGCAGTTGCATTTTCTAAAGGAACCCCCAATTCTGATAGCCAACAAGTTACATTGAATTTTATCAATCTGCTGGCCTTGTTTAGCTCGTTAGCTAAGTTTGTCGTTAGTTAATGTGGTCGGGTCCTGTACGTGCGAGAAGCTAGATTGGGTTTTCTAGACCCAATGGTACTAGTTGCGGATAGATAGATGATGAGATCTAACCTTTGCATCATTCTTCTTTAGCATGGGGGCACACTTGTTTTAAAACTAAGCGTGAGTGTTTCTCCTTTTCTTGTCTAACCAACATATGCTTATTCTTCTTTTAATAACTCCTAGTAGGGAAAAAAGCTGAACTGGACGTTGTAGATGCACGTAACTTTTTTTCCGTGTACAATATTGAGTGTCTGACTTCATTTTTTTAAAGATGAAGATTCCTGATATAGGTGACAGGAATCATGGAAAATGATAGTTTGATGTTGTGTGTAGTACTATTTTTAGAGAAAATATTTTGTATTTATTAAAAAGTTAAGTTCTGAGGTAAAGTTCCCAGAAATTTGCAGAGTAGATATATTCCTGCTACACTTCTCCAATCGACACCATAAAAGAGAATGTTTGGATGGATACTTGAAGTTTAAATGATGGCATGAGAGATTTAAGAGTGGGAAGACATCCAAGGGTGTGGCTTAACGCTCATTATAGTGGGATGAATACCATGAGAGAATAGAGTACAAATTCCAACAGAGACAAATTCCTTGGTGATTTCTTCCCATCTGCCCGTTTTAAATTTTGTATAATAAAGTTGAATTACTTGATTGTGTCTCATGGCTGTTGGTTTTTAGCTAACCTTATACTTATGATCATATAGCTTTTGATGCTGATTGTGCAAGTTGAAATTTGAATAATAAAGTTGAATTAATTGATTGTCTCGTGCCTGCTAGTTTTTAGCTAACGTTATGCCTATAATCTGGTTTGGGCAATGTGTTACAAGTACTGGAAGCCTCAACATGTGACAATAGTATTGTTTTCCTCTGCTGGAACTATAATCCGTGCCATACAGGTTCTTGCTTAATTTGTTTGACAGCCTCAAGTTCTTAATGTATGTGTAGCCTGTATAAGATGTGTTTCCTCCATTATTTCAGTAAGTTGCTAAAATACTGATTGTTGTTAAACAGTAGTCATGCAGTCAGAAGGATTTAAGCACTTAGAAGAGAGCTGCCCGTCACTGTTGTCAGAGCTACTGGAAACAGTTGCATCAGTTGATGAGAAGGCGACTGTGATGTCTAGCAAGAAAAGGACTAGCAGCAGCATCTTTGGGTTGGATCTGGCAGATGGTGCTGCAGCAGAATCTGTTAATCCAAATGCTAGGCGTGTGCGAAGACGGATGTAATCTTATAGTAGTCTTTGAGTGCAAAGCAAGCTTCTTGGTAGAAAATCTGCTACTAGAAAATTTAGCTGATGATTATGTTTATGTTAGTCAATTCGTTGTTACCGGGATGTAGGAACAGTTCTAATGAGCTTAAGTGATAACTTTTAATGTTAGCATTATTGGTTTCATGTCCTCTGTTGATCCAAACAACCTAAGGGCAGGATAGGTGGTCTATAATGTATCTTGTTATCTTTTTTTACTACCTGAGCTACTTGTTTCTGTAAGACACAGCTTTAATGAATATGTAACGAGTTCCCCATATAAGTGATGCACGTATTATTTTTTTGCTCAGTTTTGATTTTATTGATGTGTGTGTGTCTGTCTGTGGGTACTTTGAATGTCTGATGCTATAGTAACTTCTTGGTTTATAAATAATACTGAAATCACCATATGAAGCCCTTTTATCGCAATAGGAAAAGCATGTGTGCAAATGAAAGACGTCGACTTGAAAATCATCCAAGAGAAGGGAACTATGTGATGACTATAGCTGTGCTGTGGCATATGACAAGGAGCCTAGTAGTGAAAGCATTTTAAAATCGCCTGAAAAGGGAATCAAGAGAGAGATTATTACCTCTCCCACAATCTCAGGTGAAGTTCAATACCTTATTAGCATCCTTAATGTTAAAGGTCCGTGGTTTATGCTGTCTTACTGAGCAGTATGCTGTCTTTCTCTACAGGAGTTGGGTTTCAGCATCAGTTAGAAATCATCAGAAGTATCTTAATGGTAAGAGACTTCAGATTTGAGTTTGGGCTGCATTTCGCCACTTTTGTATCGTTTTCTTCCTTTCTGGATTAGATACACTTTTTTCTCGAAAAAGCTTTTGACCGGAGTCGACTTTTCCTTTCCAGTAANTGATGAACAATGACATACGCAAAGGGCAATTTATTCAAGACACTCAAAATTTGATATATTAGCTGCAGTAAGATTCTTTTTTTGACCAACATATTAATCCATATTAACCGCAAAAATAGAAAAGATAGCATAGCTAATTCATGGAACAAACAGAGAGCTAAAATATTGTAGTAAGTGTGAATTGGAAGAGGGGCCCACTTAGACGGTAAGTGGCAGTTTTAAAATGCTGCAGTAACAAGTGGCATGAAAAGTTGAGATGGACCCCACACTTCCAACAAACTTAACAAGTGTACAAGAAATAAAGCTAGAAAGTACAATACCCTGAAGTATATAAGTTACGAAATTCCAGAAATATCCTTATGCCAGGCAGACATGTTGACCATGAGCTGCCTGGTCCTTATTTCGTACTAGGTCTTCAGAAGCTGTAAGTGAGAGGATCTGAAAGCTTAGTCATTTAATTTAAGCTATAAATTGATTGAAGCCAGGTCGAAAAGCTTTCGTTTGTGGCCTGATTCCAGATATGACAGTAGCATCAACTACCAAATAAACGTATTCCTACAAGCTACTGAGATCCACCTGCAAATTTCATCCAAGGTATTGAAAGAAATATTAATAGAAATTACATATCTGATCTTACCTGATTTTCCTGAAAATTAACTTTAATTATTTTCTTGTGTTTCTTTATGCCTTTTTAGTTACTACTCACAATTGGTGCCTTATTGCTTTACTTATGCTGCCATTTCCTCTACTATATTTTATTCGGAAATCGTCTACAGAGTTTTTACTTTTTTCCCCATTTTAAGGGTGAGAATGCATCTATTTTTTGTTATATAAGTGTAGGATTTTTTCTGCTCTCACTCCTCTCCTCCATATGTGCTTCTTGTATTGTTTTTTTTCACTCCTTGATTATATGTGATTATCGCGCCGCGGACTCAACCTTAGGAAGAGTGGGTGCTAATACTTTTACCCAATAGTGGTATCGGGGTCAATTTCCACAGGGAGCTAGAAAGGGAGTTGGATATTTGCTTAGCCTAGAAATGCGTGTTTGCTTCTAATTGATCTTCTATCATTTTTGGGTTTTTATAATTATCAACTACAATTTAGCAACTACTAATTATAACTAAATTATGCTAAGATATTAATTCTAGGTTGTATGCAAGATAGAGAAAGGCACTAGGGTCGTGGCATTTACCTAGGTGGTCAACTAACGGGTAGAGATTCCTAATACAAGAATGATGATTATGGGGCTTGTGCTATAACCGTTGCACGATTGCACTCACTCTCACACCTCTCGGTAGAAAGAGTGATTTTGCCCAATTGACTCTCTCGAGACCAATTGGGTAGGCTAACAAACCAAGCAACTTAGGGTTCAAGTTGGGTAATTACTCTCTCGAGGTTTTACCCGTTAATTGGGACTACCATTCTCATGGGTCCATCCCAATTCCTTGTTGGATTAATTTTGGAGTCATAGACACTCTTTCTCAAGAAGAGTCAAGACCCACAAAGCTATACTTAGTGTTTGCAACCACCAAATCCTAGTTAAAACATAAAATTAACCCAAATATCAAACACCCAACATCATTCAAGCATTAAACAGTCACACCCATTAATTACCCACACTAGGGTTGAGCCACAACCCTAGCTAATGGGTTTAGCTAGCCATAATAGCAACAGAAATTGAAGAAATAGTAGATAAAATCAACATATTAGTTAACTAGAATGTTAATCTACAAGAATCCACGATAAAACAAGATGAGAATGCCCAAAATAGGCTAAAACTTGAGTCTCACGAGTGCTACTGCTATCTGATATCTAAAACTTTACCTAGAAATAATAAAATATTCTATTTATACTATGCTAGAAAAATCGGACAAAAATACCCCTGCGAGGCTGGCGCGGACTGCGCAGAAATGTAGCGCGGTCGCGTAGGAGTCTTGGCCTTCGATCATTCACTTCTGAAGCTGGAGACGCGGACCGCACAAAGAGGTAACGCGGCCGCGCAGGATAATGGGCGCGAACCGCACAACAATGGCGCGACCGCGTAGACACCAGCGCTGACCGCGTAGAAAAGAGCGCTGACCGCGCGTGGAGACGCCTGAAATGGATGCTCTCTGAATCTCCTAGCGCGACCGCGCAGCAAATTAGTGCGGTCCGCACTAGGTCCTCCT